CCTTTCTCACCCCTCTCTCACCTCCTCTCTCTCCCACTCCCCCTCTCTCTCTCACTCCCTCTTTTTCACCTCCTCTCTCTCCCACTCCCCCTCTCTCACCTCCTCTCTCTCACTCCCCCTCTCTCTCTTCTCTCCCACTCCCTCTCTCTCTCACTCCCTCTTTCACCTCCTCTGTCTCCCATTCCCCCTCTCACCTCCCTCTCTATCTCTCTCTCACCCCTCCCTCACTCCTTTTCTCACCTCCTCTCTCTCTCACTCCCCCTCTCACCCCTCTCTCTCTCACTCACCCTCTCTCACCTCCTCTCTCTCCCACTTCCCCTCTCTCACCTCTCTCTCTCACTCCCCCTTTTTCATCTCTCTTTCCCACTCCCCCTCTCACTCCCCCTCTAACCCCTCTCCCACTCCCCCTCTCTCACCTCCTCTCTCCCACTTTCCCTCTCTCTCACACTCCCCCTCCCTCACCCCTCTCTATTTCTCTCTCCCCCTCTCTCACATCTCTCTCTCTCACTCCCCCTCTCTCACCCCTCTCTCACTCCCCCTCTCTCACCCCTCTCCCACTCCCCCTCTCTCCCACTCCCCCTCTCTCCCTCCCCCTGTCTCATTCCCTCTCTCTCTCACTCCCCCTCTCTCTTTCTCACTCTCCCCTTCTTCCACTCTCCTCTCTCCCACTCGCCCCTCTCCCCCAACCCCCCTCTCTTTCACACCTCCCTCACTCTCTCTCACTTCCCCTCTCTCACTTCCCCTCTTTCACTCCCTCATTCTCTCACCCCTCTCCCACTCCCCCTCTCTCACCTCCTCTCTCCCACTTTCCCCCTCTCTCACTCCCTCTCTCTCCCACTCCCCCTCTCTCACCCCTCTCTTTCTCACTCTCCCCCTCTTTCACTTTCGCTCTCCTCCACACCCCTATCTCCCACTCCCCCTCCCCCTGTCTCTCATTCCCTCTCTCTCCCACTCCCCCTCTCTCACCCCTCTCTCTTTCTCACTCTCCCCTTCTTCCACTCTCCTCTCTCCCACTCGCCCTCTCTCACCCCTCTCCCAATCCCTCTCCCCCAACCCCCCTCTCTTTCACTCCTCCCTCACTCTCTCTCACTTCCCCTCTCTCACTTCCCCTCTTTCACTCCCTCTCTCTCTCACCCCTCTCCCACTCCCCCTCTCTCACCTCCTCTCTCCCACTCTCCCCTCTTTCACTTTCGCTCTCCTCCACTCCCCTCTCTCCCACTCCCCCTCTCTCACCCCTCTCCCACTCCCCCTCTCTTTCACTCCTCCCTCACTCTCTCTCTCACTCCCTCTCTCACCTCCTCTCTCTCACTCCCCCTCTCTCACTCCTCGTTCTTACACTCCCTCTATCCCAAGTCTCTCCCTCCATCTTAAAAAGAATATAAAAAATACGCAAAAAGTATTATGAAAAATTTTAATTTATGCATACATATTTAAATAACAAATTTTATATGTTGACTGGCATGAAGGTTTGTTAATTGGCTTTGCGATCTTGAATCTACACTATTCAAACATGAATACCTTATCATATGTCATTTGAAAGTAATAACCAAAGTTAATTTGGGTATGAAATTCAAACAGAAAATCCTGAATACTTCTTTAAAATTGAAATCTAAAAAGTTGGATACATATGATATATTCACACAAATTATGTACAAGTGCATAAGCTCCCATAAATACATCCTGTATGGTGTCTTTAAAACTAAGCAAAATGCAAATTTTAGAAAAGTGAAGTCAAGGTCACAATAATGTCAAAGGTCAAACATTTTTTACGCAGTTGAATAGTTCTCACAAATACTATCAGCATATTAAGAATGATTTATTAAAAAATGAGCTAAATGCTCATGTAAAATAAATAAGGTTTAGTTCAAGGGAAAGGTCAAAGTCAGAAAATTTGATGCAGCTCAAAAGCTAACATTAGTTTGTTTTAGCATATGAAGTAATTAGTTGAAAAAATATTATACATGTAAATGGTTTCTTTAAAACTGACTTAAACACAATATGTTAAAAGTGAAATCAAGGTCAAATAAAGGTCTACGTCAAAAATGTTGATGCAATTGAATTGCTAACATCAGTATGCATCTGAATATGAAGATTGATACTAATTTCGAAAAAAGAGGTCAAGGTCACAGGAAAGGTCAGAGGATGTTGATGGGGTTGAAAAGCTCTCATTAGTTTACTGTATAAGTGGAAATTTTAACAAGACACAAATTTAGTGATTTTTCCTTAAAAATGAGTAGTTTATTTTTAGTGATAAGTACTTTTAGCAATTTTAAAATGCTCACTGAAGAAGCTATTACACATAAAAGGCAATTTAATTTGAGTGATATTCAATTTTAGAGATTTCAACACCCTTACTAACAATGCCAAAATTACATCCTTGCTTGTAGTTATACAGTATGTCAGCATATAAAGTTGCGGGACAAAAACAACCAGGCGTGTATGTAGGATTATTTTCAGGAGGGGTCCACTCCAGTAGAAAAAAATCCAATCCAGAAATTTCTTGAACACAAAAAAAACCAAAGATGAAAGCTTAAATTATTTCAGCAGGATTGGGTTGACTTCTTTAATATGCTAATCATCTTTATATCTATCACTTTTCATTCCAACTCAGCAAATTTTATAAAATGATCTTTAAGAATCGTTAAAAAAACACAACATGCAATAAATTTTTGGTGTGTCTAATGTTTTATGTGTCATAACAGAGAACTACCAGTAAGGTTTCCCAATTGTTCCACATTTGAAAACTTTTTCGACTGATGCTACATTGAAATGATGTAGCAATGCTACTGCATGTCGATAGACATGCATGTACAGTGATGTATGCATATTTTATCCCATGACCGACAAATTTTTCTTTGATCTTCACAAGGGTGTATTTCTCATATCAACCAAAGTGTGGTGATATATTAAATATCACATATGTGATATAAAGCTAGTGATATCCAACTGTTATACCCTAGATGTAGGAGGAGCTATGCAAATGAGACAAAAATTCGTTTAGAACTAGATTTTAATGAACTAACAGAAACAAGAAAAAACACACAATACAGATAGTTAACACAGTTTAAACCAAAATGCACAAATCTTTACAAAAAAGACACTGACACGGTCTGGCGGAGCAATTCTCGAAGCGGATAGCTTCATCTCCCATAGGAATTCGCACATTCAATGGTAGTTTCCTTCCGGGCATCCTCTGAAAAGTTCATTTCATGAACACCTTGCTCTCATGTACAGTAGAATATCGGATCCGATTTGATATAAAGTCCTCGGGGGTAGGGGAATCCGTATGCGCCCCTGGCTTCAATTACAGTGTACAAAACATGATATAATAGTGTTCGAAAGTTCTTGGTATATAAAAGTGAGTATTTCGGGAATTATTTTAAACTCACCAAGTTGTTGTTTCGCTGAGATTTCCAGTCGTTGAACACTTGAACCATGTTGACTGCCCATGAACTGATGGGTTTTACTTTCTTGATTTTTTAAGTGCACTTATTTCACTGGCCGACACATGTTTTCCGAATCTGTATTGCTGGTATTTTCAGTCCATTCCGTAAAATTTTCCCGTTTCAGTTCCGGAAATGATCCCAAACACCAACACTGTAAATCGAAATTCATAAAAGTCCTGGCCACATGGGCCATTTTTAAATCCGATCGCCTGAGTTCATACAATCTGAACTGCTTGACTCGATTGAAAATTATCCTCGTCGTAGGCTTGCTGCAAAAACGGCGATTCTTTACGCTATAGACCCCTTCTACTACTTTCTCCAAATCCATTGAATACAAATGAATTGATTATCTCAAGAAAATGATCACGTGGTACAGTACTTAGAAAATTTACCAAATTTGTAAATCCGTTCCTTGGATACCAAAAACCCTTCGCGTTAAGACTATCACGTTGTTCTGATTCAGAGTCTTTATTAGTTGATGCAAAGAAAATACCTAGTATGGGAAGAGGTGAAATGAAGGGTCATGGGATAAATCAGTTACATGATTGACAGCTCGATGATGCATACAAAATATCGTTTCGTTATTGCAAACTCGGAGGCTAACGCCTCCTCGCGTGCAATAACTCAACGATATTTTGTATGCATCATCTCGTGTCATCATGTAACTATTACTAAGATTTCACTATTACTAATCTAATTAGTACCCTATATATATATATGAAAATCTGCACATTTGTTTTATAAGTTCTTTATAAAATGTTAGTGAATTTTCATGAATTTATCTGTCATTTGTTGTGCCCCCCACCCTGCCCCCAAATCAAAAATTTTGAAAGAGGCAATATTGCTTATCATAACAATACACTTAGCTTGCTTACTTAATATCCAGAGGTAGATCAGAGTAACAAAGAGAAAATACATTTCCACTTTATTAACAGTAGTGCACCCCACCCCCAGGAACCAGTGACCTTGGGGGCACATTTTTCATAATTCTAGAAATTTTATCATAAATTTTATTCTATGATAAATGATCAATACAAAAAAGCAGATATAAAATCATTAATTAATTTTCAAACTATGTAGCCCCCTACCCCATGCAAAGTACTACTGACCGAAGGGCCCTGAAATTAAACATTTTGGAAGAGGCACCCACCGTAACACCAGAAGCCCTGACCCTTGGGCCATGAAATTCACAATTTTGGAAGGGGGCAGTCTAATATTCAACATAACTATGTATACTTGTCAAATTGTGCAAGTTGCCACTTTTATTATTTCAAAAAGTTAAAACCCTAAACATCAATTTGCAAATTTGTCTTCATTTCCAATGCTAACCTGTCAAGGCAAAAAAAAAAACAAACATCACTAAACCCATCCTAGATTTTATCCAAAAAATCAATGGAACCTGAACCTGAAGTGCCCTCCCCTAAATGTCATACAGGAGGAGTGGGGAATGCATGAAAGGAGACGTTATGTAACTATTGTCCGCAAGGTTCACAGGTACAGACAATTTCAGTAAGCCCCCTTGTCATCCACATTTCAACCCTATAACTAGCATGTATGGCAGAAAAAAGACATGAGAGTGAGACAGCTTTTCTCCAGCAGCAGATTAAAGCGGAACTAGAGGACCACCCAGTTAGCACATGGAAAATATTCAGTAGAGATGTTTTTCTTTATAATAGTTTGAACTCCTTAAGGAGAGGTTGCCTTGCTGTTAATTTGTTTGAATGCAGTATTCAATGTTGCAAATTTTTAATTCTCTGGTGCATTAATGTTTCTGCATACATATTGTGATAAAGTGCTTCTATGAAATAAATTAAGCAAAAATAAAATTGTTTTACCCTTTTTTTTTAATCATGTATACTCATTAAATTATAATCATTGTGTCAAAATCATTTATTAGACATATTTAGTTAATTTGTTTTTTTTAAAATAGCCAAGAGCAAAGAAGAAGATTTTTCAAAGTAATAATGGAATTTCACTATATAATCTATATAGCGCTCCACCCTAGCACCTCAGAACCCCTGACCCTGGGGTCCTAAAATTCACAATTTTGGAAGAGGCACTCTTACTCATCATAACTATGTACTTGTTTAGTTTATTAAATGCCCAGGAGCAGATAAAAAGATTTTCAAGATATATAGTGCATTTTAACTATAGTAACAAAAATCTGGAAATTTTTGCTGTAGATAATTTTTTAGCAATTTGTGAGTTCATCGCATTCGCAAAACTATTTTTCTTAGAAATAAATCACCAATAAGACAAGAGCCCCATGTGCCTTAAAAGGCACCCTTGCTTATCAAAAATGTTTGATTGATACCAAGGAGCAGATTTCAAACAATTCATTTTCAGTATATAAGTTGAGCCAACCCAACCCCCCCCCACCTTTCCCCTCTATGGTATACCTGACCCAGGTATGCCATAGAATGCATTTTCACAATATAATCAATAGAGCCCCACCCTAAAACCAGAACCCCTGTCCCTGGGGCCATAGAATCCACAATTTTAGAAGACGCACTCTCACTTATCATGCAACCTGGTAACTACCTGGTATATACATATAAATTCTAAATAATACCCAGAAGCAGAGAAGAAGATTTTGAAAGAATTAATGCATTTTCACTATATGATCAATAGAACCCAGTCCTAAAACCAGAACCCCTGACCCTGGGGCCATAAAATTCACAATTTTAGAAGATGCACTCTTACTTATCATAACTATGTACTTAGTTTATTTAATACACAGGAGCAGATTAGAAGATTTTCAAAGAAATAATCCATTTTCAATATATAATCAATGGAGCCCTGCCCTAACACCAGAACCCCTGACCCTGGGGCCCTAAAATTCACAATTTTGGAAGAGGCTCTCTTACTCATCATAACTATATACTTAGTTAGTTTATTTGATACACAGGAGCAGAGAAGAAGATTTTCAAAGAAATAATGCATTTTCAATGTATAATCAATATATCCCCCACCCACTAGTACTAGAACTCCTGACCCTGAGGCCATGAATTTCACAATTTTGGTAGAGGACTCAATGCTGATAACAACCAATTGCCAACAGTTTGCCTGTAGTTGTCCATGAGTAAAGAAGAAGATTTTTAAAGATTGCACTAATTTTAGTGGTTTTGCCCCCCCCCCCCCAGGCCCCAGGGGTGCAGGGACCATGAAATTCACAATTGTAGTTCCCCTTCACCCATACATGATATAAGCCAAAATTGGTTGAAATTGGTTCAGTGGTTTCAGAGAAGGAGCTGAAAATGTTAAAATGTTAAAACATGACGAACAATGAAAGACAAAAACAAATAGCAATAGGTCACCTGAGTTTACTCAGGTGACCTAAAAATGTAAAGAAAGCAGTGGTCATTTGCAAAATTTTGAAACGTAAAAATTAATCAAAAGCATTTTGACCCGAATTCGCAAAATAAAATCAATGTAAAAATTTCCAGATTTTTCACGTTTAATAAAGGAATTTACGTTAATTTGGTTTACTTTTGTATTTCTTGGGTTGAATTTTTTTTATTAGGGTGGACCCCTTGTGGAAAATATTCTTGGATCCACGCCTGTTTTTTTTTTAAATTCACTTAAATTTCGATATAAGCATGAAATTTTATTCAAATATGTGTGGCAGTTGACAGGAAGCAGTGAGCAGTTGGCAGTAAGCAGTCGGCTGTCATATATGGAATTCCATAATCTAGCCTTTCTTTACATATTTTATTTAGATATTTATATGCATTCATTTTCAGCAATTAAACTTTTAAATCAAAAATTTTAAAATTTAATTGGAATATAAAGGAATCTTTTTCATTTTCTTTGATAAAAAATTCATATAAAATTAATAAGATGTAATATTGGTCTTTCCATGTTGAGACCAGTGCTTAACAAGAGGCCCATGGACCACATCGCTCACCTGAGCACTGTGGCTAGGAAAAAAGAGAAATTGGTTTATTAGTTAATAATTTAAATCCAAAAGTAGTCCCAATACCAATCCTGGCTTTGCTATTCTTAATAAGATGATTTTTAAAGAATTTTCCTATATATGTCTATGAAAAACTTTGGTCAGGCATTGTGGCCCCGCCCTACCCCGGGGGTCATGATTGAACAAACTTGAATCTACACTACCTGAGGATGCTTCCATATAAATATGATCAATTAGGGCTTTGTGATTCTTGAGAAGAAGATTAAAAAAAAAAAAAGTTCCTAAAAAAATTTCCTATATATTTCTATGTAAAACTTTGGTCGGCCATTGTGGCCCCGCCCTACCCCCAGGGGTCATGATTTGAACAAAATTGAATCTACACTACCTGAGGATGCTTTCATATAAATATGATCAATTATGGCTGCTTTGTTATTCTTGAGAAGAAGATTTTAAAAGAAATTTCCTACATATTTCTATGTAAAACTTTGGTCGGCCATTGTGGCCCCGCCCTACGCCCGGGGGTCATGATTTGAACAAACTTGAATCTATACTATCTGAGGATGCTTCCATATAAATATGATCAATAATGGCTTGGTGATTCTTGAGAAGAAGATTTTTAAAGAATTTTCCTATATATTTCTATGTAAAACTTTGGTCGGCCATTGTGGCCCCGCCCTACCCCTGGGGGTCATGATTTGAACAACTTGAATCTACACTACCTGAGGATGTTTCCCCATAAGTTTCATCTTTCCTGGCGCAGTGGTTCTTGAGAAGAAGATTTTTAAAACATACCATCAAATTTTCATTAATTCCCATTATCTCGCCTTGAATTAAGGGCCTGGCCCTTCATTTGAACAAACTCGAATCCCCTTCACCCAAGGATACTTTGTGGCAAGTTTGGTTGAAATTGGCCCAGCAGTTCTTGAGAAGAAGTCGAAAATGTGAAAAGTTTACAACGACGACGACAACGACGACAACAACAACGACGACAACAACAACGACGACAACGACAGACAACGGACAAATTGTGATCAGAAAAGCTCACTTGAGCCTTTGGCTCAGGTGAGCTAAAAAAGATGACTAAGAGATCTATAAATTACAATTGGTGTGGCATCCCTCCATATAACTGATAAATTATGCTCTGAATAAAGGGCAATAACTCTAGTTCACTTCAGAGAAAAACAACAATTGAAAGATTTCCAAATTAAAGGCAATGACAACAAAATGAATATATTTAATACACACAATAAAATTAAATACTATCAGTGAGTGAAAAGAAAATTAATTAAATATGAGCAGGTGATTAATAAAATAGGGGCAGTCTTACTCAGATCTATATATATAATCTCTCTGTAAGTGAGCAGGTATAATTATGGGAGATATTACCTACTCAGTACCAAAAATGTCAGTATACATGCACACTTTGATATTCACTGCAAATATAAACCATGACAGACAGACAGACATGCAATCTATAGCTACCCTTCCTAATCAACATACAAACATAATATATAAATACCAATCATATACATGTGAATGTACTTGTGACTAACAAGGGCAAGGGGGGTGGGGCATTACCTATACATGTACCTTTTATGTATACCTTCTCCCTCAGCTACCACAGCTCTGTCAACATCTGTTCAGTCCAGTCGATCAGCAGTTGTCAAATAATATACATAATTACGTATGATGCAGTACTAGTGCAGTGCAATGGTGTTAGTATAAGAATCTGAATTTTTAAACTTATGATTTATATCAATTACCAATACAATAAGGACGCAGGGCACAAATGTTTTGTTTTCAATTTATATGTACCACTATATACGGTAGATAATAATACAAAACAGACAGATGAACAATTACACAGACATCCAAATTGCAATAGCTTTATATTAATATACCCTCCATTACTTTTCAAGCAGGGAGTTTATAAATTCTTGACTATATACTGGTTAGGTAAACAAGTGCTGTAAGGTAGACTTTCTTACCAATTGCTGGTGGAATAATTCCGATTAATCACCAGAGTCAATGCACACAGAATTCACAATATAAAATCACAGTTCACAGTGTTGATCACTATTGTACTTAGGCTAAAGTCAGCCAGCACAAAACTCTCAATGTTGACAGTTAAAACATTGTAGCTCTCACAAGGAGGAAGGTAGAGGTTGACCATCATACATGTTAACCTATTGTGATGAAAAAGAGGGAGATTCAGACCTCAAAAGCGGTAGCATTGCGCGCGTGTTGTTTAACGCTTGGATTATCGATATCTTTCATGTAATATACATGTATATTATAAGCCTTAAATGAAATCAGGTACCTACACTAATCAATCTTAAATATCAACAGCAAGGAAGAAGACAGAAACACCTTAAGTTTGACATAAATTGTACAAATTCAAATATTTTTCATGCTCATCATTTTGCTTGGATTGGCTGCTTTACTTAGCCTTTTGAAGAGTGATCTTTGCTGAAATAGCCTAGAAGCAATAATTCTGAATGTTCATTCAGTCTTTAAACAAAACAAATGATGGCATGGTTTAATCTAGATCTAAAACAAGTTCGTATCTTTCGTTATATAAATCAGATTTCCTGCGATGATCGAAAACGAAAGTAGAGATGTGCCACATGGCTTGGTCAATCGAGTGATTTCTAATGACTTTATTGATAAAGTTGTGAGCTTCTGTGCTTTTAAAGACGATGTCAAATGTTTTCATCTAATTCTTAAAAGCTATATCTCCTTTTTCATGGCAGGGATGTTGATTAATTTATCGTAACCAATGTAATCACTGGTAGTCTTATGATGTTGTCGTTGTCAAATCCGTGCTTGAAATCTATGTACAAAAAAAGCGTTTGTATGATTCCGAGTCAAATCACGCGATATCTAGCGAGATTTTATGAGAGTGGCTTCAAAAATGGATACCCAAGCGAACCAAAAATACTTTAGACGCAGCTTTTGTAGAAAAGCGGTAGATTTCTGAATTAAATCGGTAGGCGGGAGATGGAGTGAAAAAGCGGTAGACTCCCGCCTAAATCGGGAGAGTTAACATGTATGTTGACCATCATTCATCAGCTAACTGCTTTATCCTGTGTTAAGGCACCTGATCCATCATCAACGACCAACTTAAGAGCAGCAAATGTAGACGTGGTCTTATGTGAAGAATATAACCCACGCATAATCACGGGTCCATTATTCATTTGATATTGCAGTGTTGATATGGATGGAAATCAGACGTAGTGGTCACAATAGTCCTATAATAGGAATAAACAATATTAAGCATAAATAAGCGAAATGCCATAGATTCGTATGCACCCACTCAAAATTGGTTATGGGCAAGGTTATTTTTCTGCATACAAACAGGCAGATAAACAGGACAAAAACTATATAATTAACCCCAAAACTTTGATTATAATTGCACAAAAAATGTAACTATAAACATGATAAATTAAAGTGCACATTTTCCTTTACAAAAATACAGATCTGACTAGAGTAAGTCACAACTGTAGTTTTTTCAATATATTTTAAGGTTTTACTAAATTACCTTGACTGGACCTGTTTGACTTTCTCGAAATTCCCAAATTTTTTCATAATTTGCTGGAAGAAGTCAGTCACCTTTGACAACTAAAACAGATGATAAAGAAATTAAATAAAAAGAGTTAAATGAAATTCGCTCTTGATTAAAAGAAAAACAAGATGTTTTTGTGAAACACTGATCCCCCAGTATAGCAGCTTAAGGCTGAGATTGAAGTTTTTCAAATGCACGTCAAACTCCAAAACCAAAAGGTCAAAATTGTTTGTATCAAGAGTAAGGTCTTTTCACAAGAAGAACTCCAGGTCCTGTGAAATATGAAAGCTGTAGTATTTACATTTTAAAATATTATGGTTAAGGTTAAAGTTTTTTTTGCACAAAGTGGCCAAACTTTAAGGTCAAGGTCAAAAGGTTAAAAAAAATTATACCTGTTCAATTGGTCTAATCTCTATGAATACATATGTGAATTATGAAAGCCCTAGTACCAATTGTTCATAGCAAGCGCAGCGAGCGTCGCGAAGCAACGCTCGCCACTGCGAGCTCTTAAAGCAACGCCTGTGTGAAGAGACAAGAGGCCCATGGGCCTTATAGGTCACCTGAGCATTATGCAACAACTTTCCAGTGATTGAATTTGATTCATGTTTTAAGTCAGATGCTATGGCATTCACAATTTTGAAAGAGGCACCATTGATCATCATAACAATACACTTAGCAGTTGCTTAGTTTGTTTACTTAATACCCATACGCAGGGTAAGGGAACACAAAATGCATTTCAACTAATCAGTAATATTCAGCAATAATCAGTAGTGCCCCTACCATACATGAACCCCTGACCCTTAGGCCTTGATATTTGATTAATACCAAGGAGCAGATTTCAAACCATTCATTCATTTTCAGTATATAAGTACACCCCCCCCCCCTCTATGGTACCCCTGACCCTGGGGCCTTGAAATTCACAATTGTGGAAGATATGGGTCCTTGTCCATCATAACTATATTGGTAGTTCATCTGCTGAATACCCTGGAGCAGAGAAGAAAATTTTCAAAGATTTAATGTATTTTCACTATATAATCAATAGAGCCATGCCGTAACACCAGAACCCCTGACCCTGGGGCCATAAAATTCACAATTTTGGTAGAGGCACTCTTGCTCATCATAACTATGTACTTAGTTAGTTTATTTAATACCCAGGAGCAGAGAAGAAGATTTTCAAAGGATTCATGTATTTTCACTATATAATCAATAGAGCCCCGCACTAACACCAGAACCCCTGACCCTGGGGATATGAAATTCACAATTTTGGTAGAGGCACCTTTGCTCAGCATAACTATGCACTTAGTAAGTTTATTTAATACCTAGGAGCAGAGAAGAAGATTTTCAAAGAATTCATGTATTTTCACTATATAATCAATAGAGTCCCGCCCTAACACCAGAACCCCTGACCCTGGGGCCATAAAATTCACAATTTTGGTAGAGGCACTCTTGCTCATCATAACTATGTACTTAGTTAGTTTATTTAATACCCAGGAGCAGAGAAGAAGATTTTCAAAGAATTCATGTATTTTCACTATATAATCAATAGAGCCCCACCCTAACACCAGAACCCCTGACCCTGGGGCCATAAAATTCACAATTTTGGTAGAGGCACTCTTGCTCATCATAACTATGTACTTAGTTAGTTTATTTAATACCCAGGAGCAGAGAAGAAGATTTTCAAAGAATTCATGTATTTTCACTATATAATCAATAGAGCCCCACCCTAACACCAGAACCCCTGACCCTGGGGCCATAAAATTCACAATTTTGGTAGAGGCACTCTTGCTCATCATAACTATGTACTTAGTTAGTTTATTTAATACCCAGGAGCAGAGAAGAAGATTTTCAAAGAAATAATGCATTTTCACTACCTACTTATTTAGCCCCACCCTAGCACTAGAACCCCTGACCCCAGGGCCATGAATTTCACAATTTTGGTAGAGGACTCATTGCTGATTACAATCATGCAAACAGTTTGCCTGCTTGATGTCCAGGAGTAAAGAAGAAGATTTTTAAAGATTGCACTAATTTTAGTGGTTTTGGCCCCACCCCACAGGCCCCAGGGGGGCAGGGATCATAAAATTCACAATTTTTGTTCCCCTTCACCCATAGATGCTTTATGCCAAATTTGGTTGAAATTGGTTCAGTGGTTGCAGAGAAGAAGCTGAAAATGTTCAAATGTTAACGCACAACGCACAACGCACGACGCACGACGCACGACGACGGACGAAAACAGATAGCAATAGGTCACCTGAGTTTACTCAGGTGACCTAAAAATTCGGACTACTGCACATTCATTGAATAGAATTTTTTGACGCAGCAATTTGGACCCACAATGCATCACTTGTTTTAGCTACGTTCTCGCAAGAATAACGGCAAATGTTCAACAAAAAGTTTACTCGCCCTGATATAACGGATACATATTGAAGATAAATAGTAAACAATACGTTCTTCGTTAACTTTCAGCACTGTTCAGGTTTTTTCTTGGTATTGCAACTTATATACGACGTCATGTGACGTCAGAGTCTAGACGCACCAAATGTCACGTGCGGTTTGACGAGCCCGATCTAAATTAAAACAATAGAAGAGTTTGCGCTCGCTCTAACGGTCGTACCGTCAAGATATTAAGATATGGTCAGGTTAATGTTTGGGGTTTTTTGTAACCAGTGGTCAAAATCTATGGTCAAGGTCAAGAGGTCAAATTTAGTGGTACCCAAAGAATGGTCATGTCATAAGGAATACACCTGAGAAATAAGAAAGCCATAAAGCCCCATCCAATAAAAATTATGAGTAAAGTTATTTTTTGTTGAAAAAGACTAACACTGATAAACATGCAGACAGATGGACAGACAGAACACGAACTATATACCACGTACTGGATCTTGATTACAGCAACAAAAGAATATAATATTAATAAACTTACAACAGGTCGAGCCCACTAGATTTTCTGACATCAGCATAAATTTGCATGTAAATTATAGCTATCTGTTTACTTTACAAGTCTGTTGTGTTGAAAATTAAGGGCAACTTGAATTGTCCCTTGAAAACTCATTTTCAGATCTTGAGATTTCTGAATGAAAAATGATTTGTAATCTTTCATTTCTATGTTCACATTTATTAAAGTTGCTTTATGAAGCCTTAATTATATCAACAGTGAACTAAAATATTATACAATACATCAGCCTAAACCATTGTTCAAAGGGATCGATGTAGGTACTATTGTATGGTTTTTTTTTTTCCACAAAATATATGTGTTCATACAGTAGTTTAAGACTAGCAGTGTAAGGTCCGCAATTATTATGTAAGTCAATCAATATTATCTGAACATGTTTTATATTTAAATGAAAAAAAACATTTGTATGGTATTTGCATGAAGAAATTATATATTATTATAATCATCTAAAACAACTCCAATATTGAATGTGAGCATGGAGCATTGTCTTTGTAATTTATAGTCTTTAAATTTTATTCTTATATATATATAAAGAGAAAAAGAAGCTCTACAGTTTTTCCGCAGTGACAAAGTAAATATTATGCAGTATACCAACGAAAACCATACATGTGTTGCTATTGAATGTAAACACGTTGTAGATTGTCATGCTTTCGGACTCATTCAGTTGATTGGAGAATGGGTGTGACGAAAACATCATCACATGTTAAAAATTGTCTTCCATATAAGGTAGTACTAGTGGTCTCTACCTGCACATCACCATGGTAATGTGCATATACTGGGACAAGGATGATAGCTCTTGCTATCTCTTTTCATTTTCCATTAATTTACAAGTTATTTCTCTTTGGCTTGATTGCAAAAAAAGTCCATATTAATAAATTAATTTTGAAAAGTATTATAATTCCTATATAATGTTACGTAATATATACATTTCAATACAACTATTTCACACTACATTTACTTATGATAAAAACATAATACTTCTCATGATTATCCAATAATCACCTGTTTCACTAGCAGATTTAGAGGGCGACCAGCCCCCCTTCTTTGTGTCCAAAATATGCATATAAGAATAGATTTTATAAAGCTGTGGCTGTGGGCCCATTAACCCCAACCCCAAACTGTCCCCTTCAAGAATTTTGCTCCATCACTGTGTTTATGGAGATAGTAAAACTCAATAAAGCTACATGCATCTGGTAAACTACACATACATACAATATACATACATGTACCAATAATCTGTCAGGTTTCAGGTTTGTCAGGATGGTTCTAATATATGGCAAACTTCATAATAGATACAGAAGCTTAACATATACACTAATTAGAGCTTTCCTCAAAGAAACATGTCTTTTTGAAGAACAAAGACAGTTCACCAATAGCGGGTAAAAAATCTAAAGTAAGTAGCTATTCCACTTAAAAAATAAATAGAAAACATTGTTAATATAATGATTATCAATGGGTCCTAAAGTGCAGAACTTAGTTATAAATAGAAAGAATTTCATTGGTTATCCTTCCCATTGTTATTGAAATTACATCTTATAACCTCTACCTCAAGTGGAAGTTGACTCCAAAGGGCAGTAACTCAATATTATTATTGAAGGAGTAAGTCTTATAATGAAAGATAACTCTTACTTCATACCTTCTATAGTTTTTTTTTCAAATAGAAAATAATCTTCATCTCTGATCTCTCTCTGTTAACTGAAACTCACTGTCATTCTTCCAATCTATATCATCCCAGTAAACAACCTAAAATATCGTTTGTTTAGAGAATTATAATCCTGTTCTTATCAGCTCCTAAGTTTATGAAACAAGTATACAATGTAAAATATAATTCATAGATGTTATTAGCAATAAATAAGTGATGAAATAAATATAAAATTTATAAGTATGGCTGATACAGTTATAAATATTATAACTTATATATATCTTTCATAAATTTCAAATGAACATTTAGGCAATACACTTTACCATGCTTTACACCAAAATCTTTAATATAAACAATGTATGAATATTTTAAAACATGCACAAGACATAAACATATTACCGTTAATAATAAGACAGTGATGAATGCGACTGATGTATATTCAAATTGTTGAATAAAATGGTGAAATAGTAAATTGAAAGAAAATGAAATCTTGTGATTTTCTACACCTTGAAAAGAATTCAATAATATCCATTTTTACAATTCTAATAAATTATTTCACATTAAACCTTTTCAGTCATTGAAATTTTTTGACTTTTTTGACCATTCCTAGTATTTTTGATAATAAAGTAAAGATCTTACTTTAATAAATGAGTAATATGCTTCTTTCCTTTAATTTTGAATTGACTTCTAAAAGTTCCCTTTTTTAAGTCATCTATTTATATGTACTTCAGTCTTCTATCTTTTTTTTTTGTGTTATATTGTGCATTGTGTGTAAACATTTTATTATCATCATAATTTCTTGGAAAATCTTTTTCTTTGCTCATGGCTTGTATTTTACATACCGGTATTTACTTTTATAATATAGATCCTTTTACATCGCTGTATTGTACTGTTTTATTATTCTCGGGTGATCACTAAGGCCATTTGGCCTCTTGTCAATTTATTTAGAGGATATGCTTTAAAAATTTGTTATTAAGTGCCATGAAATTCTGCGAAACAGTGTAAAATTATCATTACTGAAGATAAAATACTTGTATGTAGAATTTCTTTCCCTACCAAGTCATTTGCCTGCAAACTGGAAAAATATTAGAACTTTCTGAAACCAAATTATATCACACTTGTTGGTGATTGCTCTTTGGAGCCATTTTCCCTTAGTGTCAGAGAGGACTACAGCTTGGTAGTTTTTTTCCAGATGGTTCTGGTGCAGGCAGGTTTAAAAATTTTCTAAGTTTTGACTCAGTCATGATATCAAGTGGTCAGAGAAAGGTAAGAAAGCAAAATGGTGGATGACGTCACGGAAGGATTTCATTAATGTGACAAAAGTAATTGTTAACTCAATTTTTACCACAAATGCTGTGCAAAATGAAACACAAACAAAACAAAAATGAAGATTGACACACAAAAAATCAAAGACAATAAACTAAATTTAAAAGATGAAGAAAAATGAACTAAAAATAAAAGACGAAGACAGTGAATGAAAGAAAATAAAAAAAAAATAAATAAAAATATGAAACATATAAAAGCAGTTAATGCTTTCTTGACAAAATATGTATTTACCTTCTATGGAAATTTCAGTCACTTTGTCACTCTGTAATTTCTCACTGTGTCACTGTAATTTGTAAACTTCTAAAATTAGAAAAAAAATATTTATAGTAACTTTAATTCAGAAGTTTATTGTCCAATTGCCTCCACATACATCCATATGTATGTAAAAATACATGTTTTTGTGATTAGTCGAAAAAGAAATAGACTATATCAAGGCAGGTAATTCGATTTAAAGAAACATTCTGTGTTGACCAATCTTCCTATTCTTTAAAAAATACGTGGGAAAATGTGCAATGCTACAGAGAATATTTTACAGTTCAATAAAGATTAATAGCATTCAAAAATTCATTTAAAATGTTTACATCCGTGATATTTCTTCATGATGCCAAGGAATCAAAGAAAATACCAAAGCAGCGACCTTCTCGTGCAAATATACTTAATTTGTTCTTCATCGATTTAAAATAAATGAACTGGTTTTAACATCTTTTTGACATAGCACAAACTATATCGAAACACAAAAATACCTTACACATCACTGTCATCAACAACAAAGTCCATTAAATACTACTTACCACGATTTAACTATAGGATCCAATATCCTTCCGAAAATCGCATGCAGTAATGGCTACCCAGTGCTTCCGGTTGTTACTATTTTAAGATCAAAATGGCGTCAACTGGAATAGCTAAAGTAAGCCTATTGGTTCTTCAAACCACATGACATGTACAGTGTATCACATGACTGTCTGAATTTGGCCAAATCAGCAAATAGGCCGATAAAATAGCCATAGGCATTATACACCGATTGAAAGATTGAAAGAGTAATGCTCATTCAATAGCAGAAGAAAATAGGGCAATGCAGGAATGTGTATCGAATTGCATGTGTTTCAACTCAAATAAAAGGTGGATTTAGAGGCCAAGCCCCCCCCCCCCCCATTTTGTGTCCAAAATACAGGCACGTAGCAACAGAGGGGTCTGCCTGTTTTCAAACATATCCTTTTACTATTTAAAATGTTCATTGCATTTATGGCAGGTTGCCCCCCCTCTATAGTTACAGTAAGGTCAATTAAGGATAATGTAGTATTGTACAGCTCTTTGTATGAAAGAATCCGTACCTAACCAACCAACCCCCCCCCCCCCCACGAAAAAGGATTTTCGAGTTTGGGTATTTTTCCCCTTTTTGGGCTTGTTGTAGTAGATTTTAAAAAAATCTCTAGCTGCCCCCCCCCCCCTTGCACTTTTCATCAACTTTACTTGTACATAATGTCTAGGGGAAATGACTTTGGCCTGACCTTGCCTCTAAAATAAAACGGTCAAACTTGATCTTACCGATACATGTACCATCACTTAGTGATATTGTCTTCTTGATTCTGTGAAAATTTCATTAATTTTTTTAAAAATACAAGAAATACGAGAAGAATCCTACCTTTTAAAGCAGTAAATTATATCATAGGCACTTGGGGTATGGACCCCCCCCCCCTTTTCCATTTTTTTTTCTTTTTAAATCTGGGTTCGAGTCACCTTTTTCCTATTTTTCTATTCTAATATGCACTATATGTTATCAAAAATGCAACCCTTTCGTATCTACAAGCTGTTTTTAAAAATGCCGTTTTCCACTGATACATATAAAATCTTTAAACGTATCAGTGGAAAACGGCATTTTTAAAAACAGCTTGTAGATACGAAAGGGTTGCATTTTTGATAACATATAGTGCATATTAGAATAGAAAAATAGGAAAAAGGTGACTCGAACCCAGATTTAAAAAGAAAAAAAAATGGAAAAGGGGGGGGGGGTCCATACCCCAAGTGCCTATGATCATAAGACCTTTCTAAATACACTAAGATTTTTGAACCTGTACGAACTTAACTTTATGTTTTTTTTCTATTTTCAAAAATTTCAACATTACTTTGAATTGGCTTTAACTTTTGAATGAGAAGAGATGCTAGGGCTTTTATATATTATATTAGAGATGTGTATTACATGCACCTGTGATAGGACCTTCCTTAATACATGTACACTTTTTTTAACCTTGACCTAGAAGTTTGACAAACTTTTCAAAACTTTAACCTTGATCATATCGTTTGAATGTGACGAGATAGGACTTTTATATTACACGTGTATATAACTTGTGTCAATGCCTTTCTAAATACATGTACACTAAATATGATTTTTACGCTGCAGCCTTGACATTCAAGTTTGACATACTTTAAAAGAATTAAACTTTACTTTGAATTGACCATAACTTTTGAATGATAAGAGATAGAGATTACAGCGTGTATTACTTTAAGAAAGGTCTAATGTCACAAAGATTACATATGTGAAGTATGAAAGCCCTAGCTAGTCCTAACCATTCAAAAAGTTATAGCCAAGGGAAAAGTTTTTTTTAAAAAAAAAGTACATGTATGAATAAAGTTATAGCCAAGGTAAAAGCTTTTTTAAAAAGTAGGTCAAAAGTTATAGCCAAGTAATTTTTTTTTTAAAAATAGGTCAAACGCCAAGGTCAGAGTCAAAGGGACAAAGTTGTTGGTTTATCACCAATTGAATTGGTGATATCACCTACTCGAATAGGTGTTATCACTTTTTGGCAGTACATACAGTGTACCAAAACGGCGCCTCAAACATTTCCTTTAAAAATATAAAGCTATATATTAGGAGATTCTGATAAAAAGAAATAACAGAAAGAGACACCATAAGGGATTTTTTGCTCTGTGAAAGTACTTTTTTGTCATGCTTAATATGTTAGCAGCCGATTTGATGCTTTGCATCAATTTTACTTGTGTTTTATTGGATGATATTTTCTCGACATACTTTAGATAAGAAAATCAGTAAATCAGTGAGAAAAACACCAGATATACAGGTGTATAATGTACACATGGTTATTTCATGTACTGAATCACCTTCAGTTTCTCTGAGAAAGTTAACCCTATCCACAATTAATCTTCCCTTACTGTCCACACTTAATCCAAAGGGGTCAATTATTCCACAGTTGTCGATAAATTTAAGGAACTGTCCGTCTTGATCAAGAATGTGTAGACAGTTATTGCTGTAATCTGTCACAATGATTCGCGATTCATAGAGTCTGTAGCGATTTTTCTAGGATCAAATGCCTTCTGTCTTCTAGCCGGTGCCCCATCATATCGAAATCGAATTCTTCCCGCGTTAATTCAATCCAATCACAATGTCTGCATTAAGATCAGAGGCGCAAATATCTCCATTATTGTTTTCTGCTATGCACAGCCTATATTCACCAGTTTTGAAAATATCTTTATTATTATCATCTTTATATATTTCCTGTTTCAGAGTTTTTCCCTGGTAACGGACGATTTTGTTTTGGCCCCCATTATACAGGTTGACCAGAATATCACCTAATCTGGTACAACACAGACTTCTTGGTTTCCATCCTTTCGGTATAGTAAGCATTACTTCTGTTTGTCCATATCTGACAATATTCACGGTCTTATTTTTAGCATCACTGTACACCAAACGACCTTGTCTACTCACTGTGATGTCACTAGGTTTCTCCATAGAAGTAGTCTTGACAATATCCTGCACAAACCCATGTATGTCAACAAGTCTCATTAATATGTCATCTCCACTAACCCAAGCAGCATTATCACCTACACACGCTACTCTCCATATTGGCTTTACTGCGGTAGGAATGGTTGCAACAACTCTAGCTTTATCCAGTAGCTCTCTCGTGGAATAATAATTGGCTTCTTCTATCTGACTGGAAATTGACGTTTGCGTTAATATAGCCCTGTACTCTTCTAGCTCTATATTTAGTTCAACTCCTGGAATTGTGTTCGTCTCAAGGGAGGGAATTTTGATATTAATATCAGAAGGGGTTGACCTATATTCCTTAAGTTTGGATTCGTAGTTGATGACTTGGGACACTTTGTTCGTCTTTAAAATTTCTTTGTTTCGTTCGATTGTTTTCTGAATTTCAAGGATCAAAGATGAAAGTAAAGTTTGATGGTTGTTTAGACTGGTAAGCATATCATTCTTCTTTGAATTAATGGAAGAGCTAAGGTTGTTGAAAATAATGTCCACATTCTTGTGCCATAATTCCCTGTACCTCTGTGTGTTCTGTTCCAGCTCATTATATCTTGCAGAACACTCGGAAGCTTTAACTTTGGTTTCAGCTTCAACTTTCATGTATCTTGGAAGGATAACGATCTCAATTTCCTCTGTTTCGGTTTCAATATCTCTCATTTTGTTCACCACTATTTTTGATAATTCAATCGCATTATGACCCTTATGATTGCTTAGAAAACATTTGATACACACTGGAACATCACACTGCTGACAATGGGCCTCGCATCTCTGGTGGGGATGGAATTCACACTCAGGAAACACTAGCTGTATCTTTCTGGACTTGAACGGAACAATGTCGTGTGTGAGAGACTGGTGCTTGTCCACATGGTTACTTACACAATCCACACATAAACTGACTTGACAGAATTGCTTGGTAGGTTTATCACAAAGGTCGCAAGTGATGACATACTGTCCCCTTGAGGTCATTTCAAGATCTAAGGTAATAATTTTGTATATATACATGTAGTAATATAACTGTGTTATTTCAAAAGTTTCAAACAAAGAACAAGAAATAAATACTTATTACTTATTTTTATACAAATACCATATATAGTTAATCTTTATTTTCGTTATTCTTTAGGTTATTCATTCGATTTGGAAAACCAACCTGTGTTATAGTTCCATTTTAATATGCACCTGCATCTTTTAATGACACCTGTGTTATAGTTCTATATTTATATACACAGTCTTTGAACACCTTCCTTGCCTCTTCAGTGATAAGAATTCCAGTATATCTAAGGTTTGTTGAGAAAATATCATCCAATAAAATCTAAAAAAAAAAAAAAATATAAAATCTAAATAAACTTTTAATTATAAATGGGAAGAGAGAAGTTATGAATTTTTTATTCTTATGTAACTATATTTTGAAAAATCTTTAAGGTGCCCCACTCTGTCATTTTTTTTTATGACAACCTCGTTAACGTAAGAAATGACAACTAAATAGTATTTTCGAAAGTACTTCTAAGTGCTATTTTTAGGATTAGGATGCATTTCTTTATTTTATATTTGCAAAGGAAACATTGTATCTCGTGTAATAGAATATACAGAGATAGCAAAGTATTCAAGCACATAAAACCATTAAACAATACAAAATTGTAACTTATCAAACACGGACCTAGCTCCAAAAAGTCAGAATTTTGATCAGGTGTCATGAAGGAGTGAGCATCTCCTACCGACCGGTCATATCCGCCGTGTGCTCCTTATCGTGATTGAGAAATACATGTGTCACAAAGTAAATTTTACCAAATTTATTTAAAATGTAACAAAATTTTAATTTATAACAAGAATTATTTTTAATGCCTGTTTTTAACATATGTCGAAAATTATTTATCAGTCAATTAATGTTTAGACAGTAAAAAGGAATTTGTCACTCAATATTTATTTAAGGAATTAGTGTCAATCCTCTACCTCAAAGAGCGTCCGACTTGTATGTGTGATAATTGCGTAAATGTGTTAATTGAAGTTTGAGTGAATCCCTTATGTTGTGTGAGAGAGTTAGTTTTAGATCCGCCGTGGACTATCCCGGACGTGAATATTAGATGTACTGGACATTCCGTCATCAAGCAAAATACAGTTTTTACTCTGGACTATTCCGAGTTACCAAAACGTTTGTGTGTGTGTCCGTGTGTAAACATTCTGAAGTTGCTTTTGTGTTATATGACCTTACTTGAATTATCTTTTAAAATACAAACTTTTGCTTTTTATTGCTTGACTTTCGTTTAATAAATTTTCATCACAAGTTCACTTGTGTTAATTGGTGGAGTATCCAAAGGGTATTTAACCCGGGGGTATTGCATTTCCTGTGCAATACCTAGATCTCGGTACCTAGACTCTCACCCGTGCAGCTATTTTCCCCAAATTTGATTTAAAATGTCAAACTCAATGTGTTATCGCTGTGGAGAATCATTTTACAAGGGACATCTTATCAAGTGTAAGGCAATGAATCGACAGTGCTTTAGATGTCAGCAATTTGGTCATCTTTCTAAACAATGCAGGAACTCTAAAACAAAGCAAATGACAATACTTGTAGTGAAAAAGAAATCAGTCCACAAAACAGAACGTGACCAGAAACGCTGGAATGAATTTCAGTCCAGACGCTTTTCCGCCATGGAACTACCATTTTACAACGTTGAATCTCAGACTGAGTTTGTATACGCGATAAATTCTCTATCAACTAAGCTTCCGTTTGACCATAAACGAAAGAACGCAGCACTTACTGATATGGTGCGTGATTTTAAAAGAACAATCGCGATTCAGCAGGAACAACTGTTATCCTTGGAGAGTAAACTATCTGTCGCATGGAAAAAGAGTAAGGACGAAAAGGAAAGAAAGAAATTACATGTCGAAGGATTAGAAGAGAAACTTCAAGATGCGCGTACGAAGAACAAGGCCCTAGAAAAGAAAATCGGGAGGATGGACTCAGAAATATTTGAGTTGAAGGGAGCCCATCGATCCGTGGCAGATCGGCTCGTAGCAAAGGAACGTCAACTTAGTTTTATTAGGTTGATGCCACCAGTACCCACTGTTCCTATCCCTCTACAGAAGAAAAGTGTCGGAACCAACACGGATACTTTTAGCGCCAGGGACGTCAGCGACGCATCCACTCAAATGCCAGCGATGGAAGCGCGCAGGACAGGAAAAGTTTGGTACCCGCCAGGTCATCCTAACAACTTTGAAGCCAAACAGTCCACTAAGAAAAAGAGACCGTGGCATAATCAAAAACAACAGAAGATTGCGTCCCCTAAGTACCCCGCATCCTCGTACCCTCGTATCGTGTATCAACCTTCACAACAACAGCGCTTTGCATTCCGACAGCCTTCCATACCGACAGATTATTGTGCTCCCTATGGATATTGATTTAAGCTCCGAACAGTGACTTTTGCCAAATGATTTAGATTTTCAAAACATTTAAAACCTTGTCTAATTTTATCTGCATTTTATTCTTTTATGTTTAATTTGTAGACTCTGGGACAGAGTCTTACTCGGAGAGGGGAAGGATTGTCACAAAGTAAATTTTACCAAATTTATTTAAAATGTAACAAAATTTTAATTTATAACAAGAATTATTTTTAATGCCTGTTTTTAACATATGTCGAAAATTATTTATCAGTCAATTAATGTTTAGACAGTAAAAAGGAATTTGTCACTCAATATTTATTTAAGGAATTAGTGTCAATCCTCTACCTCAAAGAGCGTCCGACTTGTATGTGTGATAATTGCGTAAATGTGTTAATTGAAGTTTGAGTGAATCCCTTATGTTGTGTGAGAGAGTTAGTTTTAGATCCGCCGTGGACTATCCCGGACGTGAATATTAGATGTACTGGACATTCCGTCATCAAGCAAAATACAGTTTTTACTCTGGACTATTCCGAGTTACCAAAACGTTTGTGTGTGTGTCCGTGTGTAAACATTCTGAAGTTGCTTTTGTGTTATATGACCTTACTTGAATTATCTTTTAAAATACAAACTTTTGCTTTTTATTGCTTGACTTTCGTTTAATAAATTTTCATCACAAGTTCACTTGTGTTACATGTAACGGAAAAAATCTGTCAGTACACACTTATTTCATGACTACGAGGGGAACACTCAAACTCTTGTCCCGAGGTAATGGGGAAGACCTGGGAAACTGTTGCCCGAGGCCGAAGGCCGAGGGCAACAATTTCCCAGGTCTTCCCCATTATCGAGGGACAACAGTTTGACTTTTTCCCGAGTTGTCATAAAATAAGTGTTTTATTACCTAACCAACTATATAATTTCTTTAAATGACGATATAGATATAATAATCAATGGATTTAAGAATATATCGGCCAAATTTTTTTTATTTCTTGAAAGCAAACTGAACAATAGACACTAATCAAATTCTCATGCCGGTTGGTTTAAAATCAATACATTAATAAAATATCAATTTATCAGTTCCTCATTTGTAAACAACATAATAATGTCTTGAAGGTTTGAATATAACATGCTGAGTTGGAGTTTTAACGCAAAGATCTGTAATAAATGAAGGGTCCTATATTTTTCCCAAACTACCTTCAGAAAAAGTGTTCTTTGTCTCTTCTTTGAAGTGATATTAAATTAAACATTTATCTATATAGATATCAGAACTACTTTTCAGATGATAATTTCAAATTGAATGCCATTAAATTGCTTTATTTTATCCATAATTCAGTGCAATATAGCTGTAAAGTACGGGAAATTGATTATGACATCATAATGGATATTTCAGCCAGGCAACAGTTAATTCTGTGGCCCGGTCAACAGTTCGACTGTTTCATGATCACGCAAAAGCATAAAATGAATCGTAAAATAGTATACACTTATTCAATGACTACGAGGTGAAACAGTCAAACTGTTGTCCCTCGGTAGAGGGGGAGACCTGGGAAACTGTTGCCCTCGGCCTAAGGCCGAGGGCAACAGTTTCCCAGGTCTCCCCCACTACCGAGGGACAACAATTTGACTGTTTCACCTCGTAGTCTTCGGCCTCGGGCAACAGTTTCCCAGGTCTCCCCCACTACCGAGGGACAACAGTTTGACTGTTTCACCTCGTAGTCTTCGGCCTCGGGCAACAGTTTCCCAGGTCTCCCCCACTACCGAGGGACAACAGTTTGACTGTTTCACCTCGTAGTCATTGAATAAAACGTTTTCACAACTGTTTATTCACATACTTGTCTATTAATTAGCTGAACACATAATATGAAGATTAAATTAATATTTTTAATTCAAAGTAATACTTAATAAATGGATTGTTTGTGTGTTTTATTTAAATTTGATTAATTATAGAGCAGGTAAATAGTGATGTCGTGAACATCAAAACGCTTGAATATCAAGATGACGCTTTAAACAGTCAACAGTTCATTCTGTGGACCGGTCAATAGTTCACTGTTTCATGATCACACAAAAACATAAAGTAAACCGTGAAACAGTATACACTTATTTAATGACTACGTATTTAATGACTACGAGGTAAACAGTCAAAATGGTGTCCCGAGGTAGTGGGGGAGACCTGGGAAACTGTTGCCCGAGGCCAAAGGCCGAGGGCAACAGTTTTCCAGGTCTTCCCAACTACCGAGGGTTTGTCTGTTTCACCGAGTAGTCATTGAATAAGTGTTTGATTACCTAACCTATTATATATTTAATTAAATTGGAATAAAAAACACACAAACAATTAATAAAAAGTTTTCACAACTGTTTATTAACATACTTGTCTATTAATTAGCTGAACACATAATATAAATATTAAATTAATATTTTTAATACTTAATAAATTGATTGTTTGTGTGTTTTATTTAAATTTGATTAAATATAGAGCAGGTAAATAGTGATGTCGTGATCATCAAAACGCTTGAATATCACGATGACGCTTTAAACAGTCAACAGTTCATTCTGTGGACCGGTCAACAGTTCACTGTTTCATGATCACGCAAAAA